CCCCCTGGATCCGCCCTTGAATTTTTTTTTTTTACCACAGATAAAAACGCGGATTTTATTACGAAAACATGATAAAATTTGAGAGAAAAACGGTTTTAAGCGCTCACTCGATTTGCTGACGTAATTTATTGGTATGTCCTCCTATTTCCCCTGCCTCTAGACCAATCAGAACGCGAGAAAATTTACAAATGTGTAAAAACATCGACTTGATAATTTTTTGACAGTTTTTAACAGAGCAAGAAATTAAAAAACCCGCAGAAACAGTTTTGGAGTTTATCAGCCTTTTGACGAAGTGCAGTCTGTCCAAGAAGGCTCCTACAAGTTGAAGACCGCATAAAGAATTTCAATTCAGGGGCGCTAGTTGAAAAGATTTCATGGGTCATCGGTGATCGTACGTGACACTGATTCGCATGAAAGTGACGTACAAAGCCCTATCGAAATTTGGTTTTGGAGCAGTTCAATAACCGTCCAAAAATTTCTTAGGCCCCGTCCACACCTATCCGTAAATTTTTGTATCCGCAAATTGTYTTTTGCGGATACGAAAATGTTCGCGTCCACACGCAGCGTATTCGAATCGTTTTCACTGTCCACACGTATCCATAAATTTCTTGATCCGCCCTGATGCACGCTAGTGCCTAGTCCCTTTGACGGATAGTTTACGTCAGCGTATTCGAAAATTTGCGGATACAACCGTCCACACGTATCCGTATTCGGAGCATATCCAAAAATTTCAACTCTGGTGACCGTTTTCGAAAATTTCTGGATACGGATACAAAAATTTCCGGACACGTGTGGACGCAACCCGTATCCGCAAAAAAAAAAAAAAAAAAAAAAAAAAAAAAAAAAAAAAAAAATTGCGGATACAAAAATTTCCGGATACGTGTGGACAGGACCTTAATATTCTCTTGAGATCGGGCTTTTTTAAGCACTTCATTTCACTCGTAGCACGTTTTATCGGGTCTAAAACCAGATGAAACACTGCTGCTTGTTCATTATTAAACATTACACCCACGCGACCTTCTGCTTGATGAACGTCTCTGGTAAAAAAAAGGGACAAGTGCATTTCAATAATTTACTTTATTGAACTTCTACAGGTAACAAGTGCAAATACGTTTTCACTAGAGAGCATGTAAGTTTACATTTTATTATATGATTACCAATGAAATATCTATTTTTCTCTATTTCGAAAAATTGATATCTTCACACGTGAAAATAACATGTTATTTTCACGTGTGAAAATAACACCATTGCGATGGCTATTCAAAAAAACATGGAAAGAATTGCCTGAAAAAGCCAAAACATACTTCATTGACAATTATATAATAAACAGAATATTACATGGGCGCTTGGAGATACGAAATTTATCTTCGAGTGTTAAAAATCTCTCACTCGTTCGCTGCGCTCACTCGTGAGAGATCTTTTCAACACTCGAAGATAAATTTCGTATCTCCGCGCGCCCATGTAATATCCTCTATTTATCTTATGAATTAAGTAATTTCCATGCTTTCTTATCCCTCCAGTGACTGGTTGGACCTGTGTGGTTCTGAAAAAAGTATATTTCATATAAGTAAATTTGAGAAATCTTTATCA